ATGATAATAATAATAATGATAAAAGTCTAGTAATGATAATGACTAAAAATTTATATATAAAAAAAAGAAAGAGAGAGAGAGAGAGGTGGCATGAAGAATTTTTTTGTCATTTTTCATCTGAAACTTGTTTGTCAATTTTCGTAGTTTGAAAGGGCAGCAGAAAATCAGTTTTTTTATTTTGAAATAATAATAAAAACAACAATAATAATAATAATAATAATAATATACTGTTTATTAAGAATCGATTAATGCATTTGCGTATATCCAAATGCTCGTTTTATTTAAAACATTTCTCTTTAGTTTTACTGAAATAAAAAATTTTCAATTTGAAATATTTTGCTCGTTCGTTCATTCGTTCATTTGTTCGTTCGTTCGTTCGTTTGTTTGTTAATTGCAGCTAGGTCAAAGAGTTAAATTTGTTGTTAATCAAAAAAAAGCTGTTCATATCATTGTTAATCTACGTTGATTAGTTTGTTTCAGTTGGTGCAGCAGAAGGAGGTTTCGTATCAATTTTGTCTTGGAAATTCGTCACCCGGATCCGATCATACATCGTTGGAATGCTGCTTTGTGTTTGTTTCCTGGTTGTTGCAAGTGAGTTTGGAACGGTGGGATTGGGACTTACGACGAGAATGAAGTCAAAATTCAATTGTTATGAAAAAACATGAAATCGTTTAGGTTAAATAAATAGAAATAGATTAACGTAAAGACGAACATGAACAGGTTTTCGTTCGGTTGTTGGCAAGGACAATGAGAACGTGTGGAGCAATCCGGAGAATGTGGATGACGTTGGTCCGAACGACTTGTTGCCCAAGAACTCTCCAAACCTCGCAAACACGAGCTTGGCTGAAGTCTTGCGGAAGCGATGTATGTTCATAACTTAGCCGTGCATTTATTTATTTATAGTGCCATCGATCCTAAAAAAAAACTTGTTCTACTCGCTCGGAATTTCGATCTTTTGTCGTGTGAATCTTTTTATTAAAAAAATGGATTCAAGTAAATTCCTAAACATTTTCTAAATTGAAAGAAAGAGACCAGAATACCTTACCTAATACATTATCATTAGTAAATATAAACATTTTTAAAATACATTCAGCGCCTGCATCTCTTGTTATACGCTTTGAGCCGAGTCAGATCTGGCCAGGTGATGGCTTCAGTGTCGAATGCTCTCTCACAGAGGAAATCTCCGAGCAGGACCACTACATCGTCATCAACAAGGAAAACGACGACCAAGAGCTCATACAGTTGGCTAAATACCACGGCGGATATGATAGCACATATACCTGGACGTTAAGAGGAACTTATATTGTGAATGAAACCGAGGATCAAAATAATGGCGAGTACGAATGCCAGAGGGGGGCCACTGTGGACGGGAAGCATTCGATAGTTGATCGAGTAGTTGAGGAAATGACCTACATCAGTTAGGTTCATTTTCTAGTGTAGAGATTATAATTATGATTATTACTAGACGCACATGATTATTACCACACACACACACAAACACACACACACACATATATATATACATGGATAAAAAAAAATTATAAAATAAATATAAAAATCATGACTCACCTCTGTAAATAATTTTTTTTAGCTTCGGCAAGAGAGCGTGAGATCAGGACGGTACCTTATTTAGTAGAAAATGAGGAAAAATTCACCCTGCTGTGCTCACTGAAGAAGAATCGTGACGTGCTACCTGAGTTTGACTTGTTAGTAATTTATGAAAAATTCGGAAAAAATTCCGTACTGCTGGCGGTTTTCAAAAAAGCCGAAAATATCTCTAACGAAATATTTATGATGGGGAACGTTTCGGTTAGAGCTGACGCTGCTGCAGACCCAACTTATCACTGTAAATGGATTCCCGTTAGCTGGAGCGAGATTGAAGGAGATGACTGGCAGCTGGAACCGCTCATTATGCGTTAGATTGTTTCTTCTATAACCATTTAAATTTCCTTCATTTTTAGTGTTTTTATGATTAAATTGTGAAATTTCGTGGTAAGTAATTATTAGTTCATCTGCTCTGCTCGTAAGTGGCGAGTAATAAATTAGTAACTAGTTCTCCATTTGATGAGAATTTAAATTATTCCTCTATTGGCGAAATTCGTGATTATTCTTATTTGATTTTATATATGGTTAGATTTATTTTGGTCTGAGAGTTAGCTCAGTCGGTAAAAGTGCCATGTGTCGCTTTGACATTTAGCGATCACCTGGTTCGAATACTGTCGGTGCCCGAAACTAAACTATAAGAGGCCATTACATTCGTGTATGACGCGGTGTCCAGACGTGGGTGAGATATACAAGATGTGCATTCGCTTGGTGTGCTGCGGTTTGTCCAGTCTTTGAATGCAGAGTGAAGTGATACGTGAGCAGTCGTTAGTATATCAGAGCTGCCTCACTAAAAGGTAAAAATTTATTTGATACTTCTTGAACTGACGAACTGACAACCGCAAGCAATGCAATACAATGCATTCTTGTAGCAAATGCATTTGAAGCGTTAAATCATTAACTGATTAATCTTTTGTTCAAATTGATTTTCTACTGTTCAGTTGAAATTGATGAGCGAAATGAAAAAATAACTGTAACTGAATATTTTGGATGTCCGGTCGTGATTCCATTTGAAGCGAAACCAAAAAAGGCTCTCACAGCACTCTGGGATTGTGAGAATTTAGTAATTAATAAAGATTACGAGCTGATTAGATTCGGTATAAAGTTTAAAAAACCCGGCACCTTCAAATGCAAGTTTGCCCTCTCCTACGCATTCCATCTGACAGATAGGAAGAAGACGTGGTCGGTGGACATCAGCATCCTTGAAAATCCCGGTGGGTCTTCTCAATGTTTTTCATCTCAATTGTAAAATACTTCTTTTCAATGTCAAATACTTATTTAATCAAATTAGCAAATTAGGTGAATAAAAGGATTAATAACTAAGTGATTTCAATTGAATCAGCAAACTAATTTATGAATGATTAGTACAAAAAAAGCAGTTTGCTACAAAGATTGAGACATGTTTCGTGTTGAGACATGTTTCGTGTTGAGACATGCGTGAACGAACGGAGTCAAAAGAGTTAACTGCAATATTGTAGTAGTAGTTGTAGACTTGGTTAAACAACTTTACTGTCAATATACTCCCACTCACACCATACCATGCCATTCCCATCATCAGCAACCAATTAGTCACTCATTTTTTTAGGCCGAACTATAAATAATTGCAAATTATTTTTTCTTGAGACTTTTCGGTAGTTAACTAGGGAAGAGCTGTTGTCCTAGCTGATTCAAATGCTACAACGACGTTCATGTTGTACATATAATTGGTGATTCAAATTTTTAAAAAATCCTGAAAAGAACAAATTAATATTATTTTACTTACTTCAAAATGTTGATAAATTGATTTCACTTTATTTTAATTAAACCGTAAAATGTAACGTTCATAAGAAGTAGAAACACTATCTCAGTTAGTAATTTAATTAGTAATTTTCCTGCTTTTTATTGAGAGTAAATATTTTTCGCCAGATCCTAATGAGTGGGCGTGTCTGCTAACAAAGCCAACAGGTTCATTAAGATTTTTTTTTTTCAATTTCTAAAACAAATTAACACTCACCAAATCTCCAAACTAACCAGTTGGAGACATTAAAACAATACATTATTTATGTGTATATTTAAATTATAATTATATATTCTACATATAAACCATATCGACCATATTCACTTGCATTTGTCACATTTTTAAAAACGAAAATTTATTTCGTATTTCATTTGGAAAATCAAATAATTTTATTTTATCAGTCTACGCTCAAACTTAATTTCAAGTTTACACACACACAAAAAAAATAATTTGTGAATTTTGTGTTGAGTCCATTTTATTCTTTTGAAATTGGCCTATATAAACTTGATTGATTGATTGAATGATTGATTGCTAGATAGATTGATTGATTGATAGATAAATAGATTGATTGATCGATTAATTGATTAATTAATTGATTCATTCGCTGATAGGCGATATGCTCTTTATGAAGGATAAGATCTGCGTGAATGAGGTAATGGAATGCGAGTTCAAAGGTAACTACAAGATAAAGAGTTACACGGTATTCTGCATATTGGATGAAATCTCCACACCTGACCAATTAGTATTGACGGATTATTTCAAACGAAATGGCGGCCATTGGCTTGCCGAAACCTACTACGACACCTTTGGACCTAAAATAACTTTCTTCAAATCCGGCACCTACACGTGCGGCTGCTTGGCGCGTTTCGACCTGGAGAGGACTGTGGAAATTCCGTTGGAGAAGAATCACAAAGTTATCGTTGAAAACTGTCAGTACCCCTGTACTCTTTTGTATTTTTGTATTTTTTTTTATTTGAATTTTTACTCACCAAGTGATCAAACTAGACAAGTTTGTGAAGATTACCTCAACTAATATGTTACAGATTAAAGATATAATTGCTCAAGGCAATTTATTAAAAAAATAATATATATAAAATATATAGATAGGCCGTAATAGTATCTCGCTATTTTCAGTTTTGCTCTGTAATTATTTCCTTTTTCTTTTTTTTTATTGGCAAAACTTCCCACTGGGTCATAAAGAATCACTTAACTAGACAGAAAAAAAATAAACGAATTTCAATAAAATATTTCTTGAATTATCTCAGTTATTTAAATATTATTTAAATTTCCAAAAGGTCTCCAGGAAGAAACTCCACCTACACCAATCTCGGATCAGAGAAGGAAAGTAAAATGTAATTATTTTTATATATTTTCAGAGATCTTTAATTTTAGAAGTAGAAGTCGGTGGTTTTTCGTGTTAGACTTTGCTGGTGAGAATAAAAAGGCAATGATTGATTCCAATATTGAATGATAAAAAATATTAATTGGATAACAATAGCTATTTAATTATGAACACACACGCACACTTACACACACGCACACACACCCACACACACACTTAAATTCCATAAATTTAAAAGCCCCCACACACAGACACACACACACACTTAAAATCGTTTAATTCACAAGCCAACACACACACACACACACACTTAAAATCTTTGAATTCACAAGCCCACACACACACACACTTAAAATCGTTTAATTCAAAAGCCAACACACACACACACTTAAAATCTTTGAATTCACAAGCCCACACACACACACACTTAAATACTTTGAATTCACAAGCCCACACACACACACACTTAAATACTTTGAATTCACAAGCCTACACACACACCACATGCACACACACACACACACACACACAATCAAACACAGCTACTCTAACGACTAAACCGACAACAAAACGCGCGCAGTCACTGACAACCGGCCCGCCATTAAACCAACACCCAATATCACCAAACACAGCCCTCAGGAGAAACTCAATGATGTTATCACTGTTCATTGCCGTCATTATGTGAAATTATTTATTACGATGGAATAATTATAAACTAATAACAACAACAAAAACAATGATAATAATAATAATAATAAATTATAAACTAATAACAACAACAAAAACAATAATAATAATAATAACGATAATAATAATAACAACAATAATGATAATAATAAATGGCTAATTATACAGGGATAATTATGCTGACATACTTTTAATATGATAATAGTTCGATTTGTTTTTATTATTATCAGCATTGCTGTTGTTGCATTAGTAATTAAAGGTTAAAGGTCAAAAAGGTCATTTTTGCCCGTGCATTTATTTGTTGGGTAGGTAACAACGACAATCCAACTCATTTCATGTAATGGGTTGGGATCACTTGGCATTCGAACGCGGTCACTGCAGCGCATCAGAAGCACGCGCTTTTAATCTTTGAGCTATCACGGTGTCTATTATTATTATTATTATTGCTATTTATTATTTTTATTCTTTGGGATTACTGACGAGCTCAGCATTTAGAATGTTGGGAGGGTAATTATTTTAATATTTATGAATAAAAACCTTTCTTAATTTTTCCTATGGCATGACGTCATCTTCCCCAACAGCGTAAATATTATTAACATCGTCATCAACATCATCCTAGCTACGATCACCATCGTCATCATCATCATCACCATCGTCATCATCAGCACTCTAATTAATATTGACATCTTCATCGTCATCATTATCACCATCGTCATCATCATTTTCATGTTATATCCATCATTCAATTGTTACACTCATTAACTCTGTAACAATTATAATTAATAATTAAACTTAAAAAGCTAGGTCTATCTTTCATGATTATAAGCATAATTAAATAAACAAATATATATAGATATATATGCGTGTGTATGTGTGTTTGTGTGCGTGGTATGTGTGTGTTTGTATGTGTTTTGTGTGTGTATGTGCGTGTGTGTTTGTGTGCGTGTGTGTTTGTTTGTGTGTGTGTTTGTTTATGTGTGTGTGTGTGTGTTTGTGTGTGTGTTTGCGTTTGTGTACTAAATAATAACAATATTAGTAATAAAAAAAAGTAAGGCACTAAAATTATTAATTACCACCTATGCAATTACAAAAAAAAATTATCTATTCATTCGTTCGTTCGTTCGTTCGTTCGTTTTTCCGTTAATTTAGGTATTTACATGTGAAGTTGATCAATCATGAAGAGGTTTGTCGGCTAATACAATACAGTTAAAACTTTTGACCCCTACCAAGATCAGACTTTGCTGGTCCTCAACCGATTTTCTCATTTTTGATGTTGATGGCTTTTAATAATAATAATATTATTATTATTATTGTTATTATTAATAATATTAATAATAATATTATTATTATTAAAAGCCATCAACTTCAAACTGGACACGACGGCAACATACAAACTGGACACGACGGCAAATTGGAAACTACAAATTCTACGTAGATATATACCGTCGCAATTGGCATTTGAGTTGCGGACATACGACATTTCCTTGACCTGGATAGGCAACTGCCTCGACCCTCTCATTGTTGAATCGGTGAGATCATGGCTGTCACTACCTATCAGCAGCTGTGTGTCTGAATGCATGTCGCTCCCCTTCAAATTGGGAGTCTTGAACATTAGGTCTCTCAAGCACTATGCCGAATCTATGCGAATTAAACTACGCAATTATCTAAAATCAAACGGCAAAGACGAACTTAAGTGCTTGTGGGCCGAATCATTCAACAACTATATTGCGGTGGATAATCAGCTACCCGATTCGAACGACATCAAATCAACGCTCAAGGCACTAGTACTTCGACAACAAAGTACAGAATTTACACGGCTGACCTCACTCCGATGTCAAGGTACGATAGTCAAGGCAATCAGTGATCATATTCTGGCAACTAGAAATGATCACTGGTCACGATACATTGCAAACCTTCCAGAGGTTCTATTCAGATTCGTCCGGAAAGGTTTAATTCAGCAACTGCCAACAAATGCCAACCTGTCCAGATGGGGAAAGCCTTCCACTGCCCAGTGCTTGTTATGCAATAATCTACAAACGAATAAACATGTACTATCCAACTGCAGTTCTTCGTCGGCACTGGACAACAAGACACAACAAAATATTGACAATAATCCTCGACAAATTAAAATCATGCGCCAACCCAGATGTCTCCATTTTTGCTGATCTAGAGACGGGAGATGTTCAACCACTATCACGCTTATTCAAGTCATTGCGACCAGATATCGCATTGCTACGCGGTGAAACGTTGGAAATTCTGGAATTAACAGTCTGCCACGAAACCAACTTCCTCAGCTCAAAAGAATATAAACTATCTAAATACTCTAATAATTTGAAAAATAACTTAATTGACGATTGCAAACATTTGAAAATAAAAATAAATACATTCGAAATTTCTACATTGGGTTTATTCAAGCAATTTAATTTATCTCATATAAACATTGTTTGGTCTGATAACTTTTGCAACGACCTTATTAAGTCTGCTGTATCATCGTCGTACGCTATCTATTGTGATAGAAATTTGAAATGAACCAATTTTGAAACTAATTAACTCTGGCTGTACTCACTCGATTTGAATGATGAGCTTCGCAGATTTGATAAAACACTAATTATTTCATTGACTTTTCATTTTATTTTACTTAATTTGTATTGTCATTTTTATTGATTTTATTGATGAATAAAAGATTGTTCCCATTTCGGACGGTTTCAACGTAATATCTCAACGACCTTCATTATATTTGATTAAGTTGATTGGGCAATCAAGAGTATGTGCGTGTGTGAGTGCGTGTGCGTTTGTGTGCGTGTGTGTTTGTTTGTATGTGTGTTTGTTTGTGTGTTTGTTTATGTGTGTGTGTGTGTGTGTTTGCGTCGCAAGATGAAGACCGGCAAATGAAGAATTCGAAACGAAAGTGCAAAGTTCGAAAACACTTTTACTAACATTGCTGCTTTGTCTTTATTGCCGCTACTACAACTACTACTTCTACTACTACTATTAATTTTACTACTACTACTATTACTACTACTACTACTACTACTACCAGTACTACGGCTACTAATACTATTAGTACTATTTATACTCCAATTATGAATTTTATTGCAAGGGTTTCTCTTTACTACATCTGTTACATCCGTTACTATTATTGCCGCTGTAGTTCTGCTTTTGACGTAGCGACTAATACCTTTACTACTACACTACCGTTGCTGCTGCTACTACTACTGCAACTTCTGTAGCAGCTGCAGTAACTAATACTACCACCATTATCATCATTATTCATTTTAGATACTTCTGAGATTGTTTTTTTCAGTTACTAATACTGCGACAGCTATTATTCGTACTACAGCAGCTGATAATGAAGTCAATGAATGATGTTTGCATTTGGCAAATAAATTCTCATTACTAAGCTTTCTTGCTTGCTTTGTCGCCGGAAATTTTATTAGCTCTTAAATAATATTAATAATAAAAATAATAATAATAATAATTAATAATTATTATAGTAATAATAATAATAATAATAATGTTATTATTATGACGAATTAACTTGTTCAAGTTATTAAAGTCGAGTGTGTTGAGTTTAACGACTGTTATATAATGAAATGACCATAAATCTCGTTCATAAAAAGTCAACAGGGATGATTCCATAGATCTGAAAGCGATGTTTGTTTGTTTGTGTGTGTGTATGTGTTTGTCTGTGTGTTTGCTTGTTTATATGTGTGTGTGTGTGTTTGTGAGTTTATTTGTGTGTTTGTTTGTGCGTGATATTATTGTATATAATGTTTATGATGTATATATATATATATTGTACATATTATGTATTCAAACCGTTTCACTCAAACACATTTACACACACACACACACACACACACACACACAAACACACACACATACATAGAAAAACTCACACACACTCATAAACAAACTCACACACGCGCATACACATACAAACACACACACACAGCGGTGACAAAGGTGCTTGTTCATCGAAGTTGGTTTTAATTACCAGGATGTTCGAAAAATATTTAGAATGAACTAATTGTCATCATCCGGCCGAGAAAGTGTCGGTGTTTGATAGATGTTTGTGGTTATAAATACAACAGAAGTCTGCTGTGGAGACAAGTTGTTTGCTCAGGAGGTGAAGAAAATTTTTTGTTGAAATAAAATTTTAATTTTTAAATTATCTTTTGCTCATCTCTGTTCAGGTTTTTGTCTTTTTGTAACTTTTAGATACGAATAATTTTGAATTTAAAAATTTTTTTTTGATAAATTTTATTTTAAAGTAATTTATTTCATAACTACATGTACTGTCGTGTCATTGAAAATATATGCGATAATATACATTGGACTTCTTTTTTTTAATGTTTAGCATTAACAAATGAAATCTCAAGAACGGCGTAACAATAGTTGTGATGAAATAAAAAAAAATACTCATTATTTCATTTTTGTCATAGCCAAAAGTCCATCATCACAATAGAAGAAGATTTATCATTAATTCATTTAATCAGAAAAACAAATCAATCATCATTAATTCATTCGTAGAGAGAAAAAAAGTTCAAGACGAAACCGGAAACTATGTTCTCTCCATTTTTTTCATCCACCTCGCGATCATCATCAATAATCTCAGCCACTCTCCTACTAGCAGTCGCGTTCTTGTCGCTCCTGCCACAGACAGCTGACGCAGTGTCTTGCTTCAAATGTGCAGCTGACGACAAAGAATGCAACGACCCGTTCAATGCCAAAGAGAGTAAGGTCTCCAAATGCACTGGCAAGTACTGCCTAAAGTCCAAAGCGACTTTTAACGGTTTGGTTTTGTTCATTTTTTATTTTATAAAAATTTGAAGTCTGTCAAACGCGGCAAATGATACACTACGTAAGGCATTACTAGCATGGCTTCAGAACAGGTCATAAGTTGACATAAGAGGCAGATTGCTACGGGAAATATTACAAAAATTTATGAATTTTTGTAGATTTGCAGTACGCAGATTTGAATTGAGGACCTTTCGATCAATTTTGTTCCAACTCTCGTAACTTTCATTTAATCCGTTTAGTTGGGAGGAGGATTTTCAAAACATTTTTAACTGATGATTGTTTCTTGCAGAGGCCCGTTCACTTTATTGCTCAATTATAGAAAAGACTTTTTTCTGATCTCATCTCAATAAACCCTTCTTTATTTTTGATTTTTTTTTCCAAAAAAAACATTTTATAAAACACATTTATTCCATATCATTCTGCTTTTCTAATTTAACTCTCACTATGTGATGCGTTTTCGATACCTCTGAAATTTACTAGAAAAAGAATTGCAGTATTTGAAAAAAATTAATTTTGATCTACCAGGTGTCTCGGGCGTGGGCAGGGACTGTGCGGAGGAGGTCAGCATTGAGGGCTGCGTGTCGATTACAGTGCAGGATGTACCGACCACCGTGTGTACCTGCAAAACCGAGCTCTGTAACGGTTCTGCCGGTTTGAAATCTCAATCTCTGCTGGCTTTCGTCATGGCCGGTTTGTCGGTAGTCGGTGTGTTCGCCACTACGAAGATGTGAATGTTGTACGAGAGTTCACGATGAAGAGGAAAGAAATGTGGAACTTAACTTTGATGATTAATAAATGATTTGAATTTATTTAGTATAATTTGTTTAATTTACGCTTTCATCAGACAAACTTTTTTTTCATGAGTATAAACGTTTTGGTGAAATAATAACAACAAATTTGTTTCGAAGTTGTTTATAAATATACTTAGTTTTATAAAAATTCTTGATAAGAGTTTAATATGAAAACTTATAATTAACTAAAAATACAACGACGGAACGTTGGTAGCGACATGAAATATTTCTATCCCAAACATTAAAACATCACTTTATTTTTTCATAAACAATTTCGATTTTAGCAGTCGCCGAGATAGGCGCGACATGGGCGGCATAGAAATAAATACTTTAAAAAAAATAACCAATTAAAGTTCCCAAAAATTGAATAAAGAAACTGAAAAATAAAATCAAAGATGAAAGTTTCTTTAAATTTTTTATCTAATTTGACTAAAAATGAGTTCAGAAAAATAAATAAAAAATAGGAAGACAACGTATTGAATGTATTCTGATAAGAAAAATATAGCGTTTTACAAATGCGTATAATTTTATAAGCTGAGCTTATAGCTGTAACACAAAACGGAATAACCAAAAAATTTTAATGAAAAAAATTACTGCCTCACATCATTAAATCGAACTAGTTAAACTTTTAAATAAGCTTTCATTAGTCGTTTAAGCGAAAGTTGTTTTCGCACACATCTCTCTTTCCTCTTTCAATCTCTCCCTCTTTTTCTCTCACTTCTGACTTCTCACTATAATTTCAAAAAATATTCACTATTCGCTAGAAAAACCCATAAAAACTCATTGATACATATATACCAATTTTTATGTGATCTATACAAATTCCATATCAGCGAGTAACTGGCGCACATTTAAAGATTGACTCTTTCATGGTTTCAACAGCCTGTTTCATGGTCTGCCAGAAAGATCTGTTGCACAGGTACAATCCATCCAGAATGAAGCAGCCAGAATGTTAACTGGGGGCTTAAAATTTGATCACATCACTCCTATTCTCTTTGATCTTCATTGGTAGCCCGTTCTACAGAAGATTATTTATAAAATCGTCTTACTAGTATGCAAATGCAATAATGGACTAACTTTAAAGTATTTAATGGATGGAATTATTTCCAGAAATACTCCATCACGGCATTACCCTTTGCGATCTAATGATTTCTGTTGTTTGAAGAGATTTTGCTGTCATGGGACCCGAGATCTTGAATAGTCTGCCACTCTGCTTGCAAAATCGTCGTGGAAATCTTCAATATTGGAGTTTCGAAGAAAGTTAAAATCCCATTTATTTGGTCAATTTTTGGTAAAAAAAGGCACAATACAAATAATCTGATAATAATAATAATAATAATAATAATAATAGCAATTACTAAGCAAAGATCAACTACTATGTTTGTGCGCATGTGTGTGTGGGGAATGGTGATTGTTAGTTTTTCTAAGTTTCGTTCGAACGTTCGAAGAAATTTAGAATGAATAAGCTAATTGTCAACATCCGGAAGATGAAAGTGACTGCGTGTGATGGATGTTTACAGTTATAAATGCACCGGGGTACTGCTGTTATGAAGAGTTTTTTGTTGAAAGGTAGAAGTAATTTTTGATAGATAGAGTTTAAACTTTTTCATTGTTCCGTATTCAGGTTTTTGGTTTTTGTAACTTTTTGAATTCAGTAACATTTTTAAAGTGACTTATTTTAATTAATTAGTTTCAAATTAACTTTTTTCATGATTATTGTCGTGAATCTAATTAGGCAAAATTAAGATATTTTATTTAAGGCATTTGTTATTTATAACACCTAACCTTAGGAAAATGTGATATCTTTAAGAGAGTTCGGCACTTTAAAACATGGCGTAACGTGAAATAAAATTAGACTCAAAATTTTTTTCATTTTAGTCATAGCCAACAGTCCATCATCAATTCATTTCTACAATCGGAAAAATTTATTATTAATTCCCTTTAGTTCATTTAATCAAAAAAAAAATCAGTAATCCTTCCAGAGAGATAAAAAAGTTCAAAATCAAACCGGAAACTATGTTCTCTTCCTTTTCCTCATCCACCTTGCCATCATCATCAATAATCTCAGCCACTCTCCTACTAGCAGTCGCGTTCTTGTCACTCCTGACAACAAGGAATGCAACGACCCGTTCAATGCCAAAGAGAGTAAGGTCTCCAAATGCACTGGCAATTTCTGCCTAAAGTCCAAAGCGACTTTTAACGGTATGGTTTTGTTCATTTTTTATTTTATAAAAATTTGAAGTCTGTCAAACGCGCGGAACGATAAAATATGTAAGACATTAACATTACATAAAAAAACTATATAGTATATATACATACCGTTCATGTATGACTCTTTTTTCAAAAATCTTTCTAGCAATTTTCAGAGGCATCTGCCACAAACACACAGTTAATTTATACACACGTGAATCTATGCGTTACACATATAGTATGTGGTCGACGAGAAATTCTTTGCTTCCGATTCCAGTCAATACGTCATCAGCACCAGGTCCCTCAACCATTATACCCTTCTGCAGCCGATAATTATAATCCCAATTATAATAATAATTTTTGGAAAATTTCATTCTTTTTTGTTTGTATTGCATGCTGTGGTTAGCGATAAGTATGCTTAATTATTTTGTGTTTTGCTGTGTTTTGACGTACCATTTTGTCGGAGATGTATGTTAAAAGTTCCAGTATTTTGTAGCTACTTGTTTCATCTTCATTCCATGGTGGATCCAGGAGTTTTCAATGCAATGGGGAGAATGATTTCAAAATTTAGGATACTTTTTTCAGTATTCGTAATTTTTGTTTATCCTCGTTTTTTGCAAATTTCCGTTCATTTTATTCCCACATTATGCACAGAACCTTCAATATTCTCTTCTTCCATCTACGTTTCTCTTTCCTGAACCGGCCACTCTGAACATTATATTGTAAAATAAAGCCCTTTCATAAAATACCCTCCTTCGAAATCATTTTGCTTTTCTCAAAGTACAATTTAAGTCTCACCTTGCGGTGTGACTTCGGTACCCCTAAAATATACTAGAGAAATGATTGTAATGTTAAAAACTTCCAATAACGAGTTGTTTCTCAAAATTAATTTTGATCAACCAGGTGTCACAGGTGTGGCTAGAGACTGCGCGAGCGAGGACACAATCGACGGCTGCGTGTCGATGACCCTGTTCGAAGCACTGTCCACCACATGTTCCTGCAAAACCGACCTCTGTAACGGTTCTGTCGGTTTGAAATCTCAATCTCTGCTGGCTCTCGTTATCGTCGGTTTGTCGGTAGTCGGTGTGTTCGCCACTACGAAGATGTGAATGTTGTACGAGAGTTCATGATGAAAAGGAAAGAAATGGGAGACTTATTTTTTATGATTTTTGAATGATTTCAATTTATTTTGTATAATTTTTTTTACGATATAATATTTAATTCACGCTTCCATCAAACAAACTCTTCTTTGATAAGTATAAAAATTATGATGAACAACAATAAATTGTAAATTTTCTTTGACCTAAAGACATTCACCAAAGAAAAGAACCTTTTTGAAAAGTTATTTTGTTATAAATTTGTAAAAATATTTAAATATCAAGTTATAGAGTTAATTTGAAAATCGAAAACGTAGTCTTGTAAACGAGTACCTAAGTTAGTTTGTGCTTAAGTAGCTGATGTTTAATAACTCATACTTAAGTTCCTGTGTAAAAATAGTACTTATGTTTTTGTAGTTAAGTACATTTTTAGTAGCTGTATTTATGAATGTACCTTTCTTTAAGTACAGAAATAATTTATTAATTTCTGTGTTCAAGTTTTTTGACATTTCATTTTTGACAAAATATCGGATTTTAGCTAGAGTTTTGCCACTCGACTTTGAATGTATATATATTTATGTATTTTTACAATATTCTATAAATTCTACCGAATGTTTGGCGTTGAATATATGTATCAACGCTTTTGTGTCTATTTGTATAATATACATACACATGTAGGTACGCGCTAAACCTGTATATGTGCATTTATTTTTCCAACTGTAACATGTAGAGAATTATCTGAGGAATAGGCTTGAAGAAGGCAGGAGATAGCAAACACAGGCAAGCGAGGTGATGCAGAGTAAGGTGCCATTCTTTCTTTGATTCCACCTAAAAACAATCAAAGTTTGATGCATCAGCCCATCAGGTGAGTCAGATCGAAAGATTAGAATATTGATTCTGTTGTGAACGACATGCGGTCAGTCAGTTGGGTAGTTGAGAGACTAGGATGTTAGTCTGTTAGTCTTGAAATAAACATAACAAAAGTTTCAATGTGTATGTGTTTTGTTTGTGTGTGTGTGTGTGTGTGTGTGTGTGTGTCTTGAAATTAACATGTCCCTATACAAAGTTTTAAAAACAGCCAAAATACTCTATCCAGAAAAAAAATATTTACACCACTAACAATCCAACCAAAATTACCAAGAATTACAAATCCAACCGCTCTTAATCCTTTGTATAAACCAACCAGTTATTATTTGGTAACCTGTTGTAAGTAGACAATTGAAGAAAGGAATGAAAACGAACAATGCCTACAATTGAACTTCAATCATGCACTGTAAAACATTCTGTATAACAATTCTTGCCCTGTTAAAACGCTGTTATATGCATGTTCTACACACACACACCACACACAGACAACACACACACACACATACACATTTATTGTGGTAGCTAGTTATTACTTGGTATTGTGTTGGTAACCGAATCTTGGGCAATTGTTATTTAACGTTATTTATTCCATACAGATCACATACCAAATAGTATTGAACTTTCTGCTCTGTTATTGTGGTAAAACTTTTTTAGTTTATTTTTTAAATGTTTAAAAATCTTTTTAAAATATTTTTAGTAGTTAGTTTTAGTATATTAATATTTATAAAATCGTAAAAAGGTAATAGTTAAATAATTGTATTTTATCAGATGCCAGAATGAAAGTTACAAATTTCAACATCGTCGAAATATTTTTTAAAATTTGATTCTATGCCATAGTGTTTTGAAAATATTTGACTTATCTATCTAGTTTAATTTTCAACTGATAGTTTTATTACTAAATTTTGAAAAAACTATCAGAAAATTTAAAAATTATTAATAATTTTACTACCGCTAACAATAGTATGTAATATGTAATAAAGTGAGACGTAGCCAAGAGGGAGATTTTGTGCCTGACACTTCCCTGTCTCCCGCAATAATAAAACATTATTTTTTTTAAATCCCACTGATTTTTATCCTAAAATTGTCAAAAAACCTCTTGAATGTGAATTTCTTTCAATTTGAAAAGTGATGAATGAAATTTTTTTACCAGGATTGCCAAAATGACTTCAAAAGACGTTTTCTCGTCCTCTTTTTCATCCGTCATTTCAGCCAGCTTTCTGGTAGTAGCACTCCTCCTCCAGATTCTTGCGCCACAGCCGTGCGACGCTTTGGTTTGCTACCAGTGTGGCGACGACGCCTTCTGCAACGACCCCTTCAACGCAAACGATGGCAGAGTTCCTAGGTGCAATGATAGTTACTGCTTGAAAATCAAATCTGTTAACCGTAAGTTGCGATTGACAAGTTTTATAAATTTGTGTCTTTTTTCATTTAATTTTGCTTTTGTCTTTTAGTTTAAGACTGCTTTGGCCGGCAAATCAGCTCAGTTGTTATTGTGAGATGACCCAGTTCGAATATTGCCTGTTCCAAGCTGGAAAAATGCTACATATTTACCAATCGAAATAAAAATTTGTGAATATTCAAAACACTTTTTCATTGAAACAATTAGTCAAAAAACTTTCATTAATTTCTAAAAATTTTAAAAACATAATCATAGTTTTAAAGTATTAACCCACGAAACAACCCAATTAGGAACTGCCAGAATGTGTATACAAAGTATTGGCTACCTCGGATGTCTGACCACAACTATAGAAAGCAATTATTCGGTAACAGCTTGCTTATGCAATACCGATCGGTGTAACGGTTCTGTCGGTAGGAAGTTTCTATCTCTCTCGATTCTTGTTCTCGTTGGTTTGTCGGTAGTAATGTTTATGATAAAGCTTGGTAAGTAAACTGTGGGGTGGCAAACATGAGTTGAAATAACTTTTTTTGATTGATTTTCGATGTTTTGGTTTAAAATTTTTTTATTTCAGTTGGATAGCTTATTTGGGCAAAACGGTTGAATTAAAATTATAATTTTTTAATTTAAAAATTCATCTTTTGATGTTTAAACGTTAAAAATAATTTCAATGATGGTAGAATTTAATGAAAATTTTAATAAACTATCAGTTGTTTTTATCAAAATGATTTGTGCAGAAAGTGATCAGTGGAAGAAACAAAATTCAAAACGCAAAGTGGTTTAATGATGAGAGTACATGGTATTGGTACTACAGTGCGTGTGTGATGCATTAAGTGACACATATTCACATGCATCAAGTGACACATATTCACATGCGCTTGGTGCTATTTTCTGGTCTTTTATTAATATAAGAATCAAATTGTGAACAAAAGTTTTATAAAACCGTTGAAAATTTCAAAATTGTCAAGTCAAGTTTTAGGCATTTCTTTCATATTTTGTACAGCTGGTTTAAAAATTAGCTTAAAGGTAAAGTGTGTCATGCTCTGCGATGTTAACACGCGTCTATCTGGTTCGACTGCAATCTTTGCTGCAGAACAAACTCAAAACATTATTTGTCTTAAAATAGAAATGTTAAAATATTTATTCATAATCAGTAGCGAGTAGATAAAAATAGGCGTGACGTGGTGCTAGAAGAAGTTTACTCGCAGGTAAAGGCCAAACAGACTATTTTGAAAGAGGGCCAATTTTTGAGTAGCTGTCAATTTTTCGGCCCATTGCAGAATTTAAATAGTGGAACATAAAATTATGTATTAATATATCAGAAGAATAAAGACACATGAGCATAATACCTTGCCTTTTATAAATGTTCCAAAAATCGTTGCCGAAAATCCACAACTGTTTGGAAAGAAGTGGAAAGAGCAGGCGTTTGTTGTATCCACAAAACAACAACTTTAAATGATGTAAATATTAAAGAATGAATAGTAAGTAAGAAAATTGCAAAAATTGAATGAAACATTTGAACTTTCCGCTTGCAACGTCAAATAGCTGACGTTTATGGTAAACAAATAAAAAAATTATTTTGAAGTTGTTTTTACATCGTTCGGTCCAAAAAGTCTGTTTGGAAAATTTTTTTAAAATTATTTAAGCCATTTAAATTAAAAAAATACAAAGGTTTATTTTGCTTATTATTTATTTTCCAATTATAGCGGTTGGAATGTTTGAAATCTTTGATAAATTTTTTTTTGTTTCGATCGAATCGTTTTATAAAACTCGTTACGTCCATTCGTAGTTAAATATTGCATTATTCAAAGTTTTTCCTTTTGTCAGCGTTTATAATCAACCTAAAGGAGGGGTTGTTTTTACATAGGTTAGGCAAGTTTTAGGAGAAACTGGATAGCATCTAATTTAGAGTTGACATTGTGTCGACGGTATTTCAGGTTTCTAGCCTATGAAAATTTTCAACTTTAGCTAAAGTTTTTAGAAATAATTCAAAATTTATTTAAGTTTTCAATATTTTTAAATTATTATAGGTGTGTTGAACTTATTTGTTACATACTAATTTATGCAATGGCCCATCTATTTTATTTTGTTCACTGATCGATTTTTTTACGTACATTTTGCCACTGATTTTTGCTATTTTCTGTAAAATTGTAAACAGCATGTAAAACTATGTTTAAGACATACACTTATTCAATACGAAACCAATCCTTTATTGTCATTTTTTACAAGGAAAAATTTTAACGGATAGGAAATGTTTTCAGCTTTCACGTTTACAACTACACGCTCCTCGCTCCCTTCCCTGTTTGTGTCGGCGATCCTGGTCGTCCTCTTTTCGAAGCAATCGGAGCAGTCAGCTGCAACGATCAGCTGCTACAAGTGCAATGGCACCGAAGCTTACTGCAACGAGCCCTTTCAGCCCTCAGACGTCAGAATCAAAATTTGCAAGGGCAAAGTTTGTGCAACCACTACAACAATAGTCGAAGGTCCGTGACGCAACTAAAACAGAATTTATCATCATTTTTTGATTTCAGTTTGATTTTAACTCCTCATTTTTAAAAGTTGAACTTTTGAAAAAGATTCCCACAATAAAATAAAATGCTATGTTAGTGTCTTTAAAAAGTGTAATTACATACATAAAAACAAATATATCATTTAAAATAAAATAAAAAAACTAGCAAGGTGACTGATTTTAAGGATGAACATTTTTGGTCAAACTTGCAGGCGAAACGTTGTATTACAGATCATGTCTGTGGAAACCTCCTCTATTCAGCAGCTGCCAAACAATGGATGTCGATGGAAGCTCTGTTACTACTTGCGTCTGCAGAACAGGTTGGTGTAACGGTTCAGTCGGTACTAAACTACAGTTCCAACTCGATATCCTTATCTCCGGGTTAACTGTAATTGGCTTTGTCCTGAAGTTTATCTAGCAGAGCTAAATAGAAAATGACGTCATAAACATTTGGTTGTTGGAATTTGGAATTTTGTTGATTTTTATACTTGTTATTATTCCAATTGAATTAACTTGTTTGAATTTAATTTTTTACATTTAAACTAGTTTTTTCGTAATTTTTTTTTGTTATTTTGTAAAAACGTTATTGAAAATAGAGAGTTTTGATGACTTTGTTCGGTCGGCAATGATTATTTATTTATCAATCAAATAAAAATTGCCTCGTTTCGTTATTGAAAAACTAAAAACAGAAAAAGAGGAATTGGTCAATAGTAAATAAGTAACAAAGTTCGTATAAAACTACTTTAAAGTTCTACATAATCAAACAGCTAAGTCCAAGAGATACAAAGTAAAGTTAGACAGGCATTTTGGATACGCTACCACAGATCACCGCAAATGATGGCTCCCGTCAAAATGTAGAAATGTAAAAACTTTCAAAATTCTGCCCCTACCCGTCGTCAAAGTTGTCTAGATCTGCCATTGCGTCCAACTCTCTAACTTAGTCAATCAGTGCATTTCTTATTGCATCAAAACGACGAAGAAGTTACTGGGCGAAAAAAAACAACACACGACATTTACCTACTCCTCCTACCTAGCAAACGTTTGGAATGTTTATAAAAATTAAAGATAAAAGATTAATTGCTCATGCTTTGGTGAAATCTTTTAATTGTTCTGGACGTGTTTATTTTTATTGCTACTCAAGTTCGTTTAAAAATTTGAGTGCTTTTGGTAATGTTTGATAAGTGCTATATAAATTTCTCTAAATAGTAATAACAATACCTGCTTATAATAATAAAAATGTATTGAGACTAGAGTATATACATTATACAATTGTACATAAAGATCACTACATTTTTCCAATCGTTTGCTATTCAATTAATTTATTCCAGGTTTTCCAACTAGAATTTTAAATGAAGCATAAATAAATGTATAAGCACGCGAGTACCTGACTGTCTATGCCTATGATTTTGAGATTTGTAAATTTGTGTTTGCGTGTGTGCGTGTGCGCGCGCGTGTGTGTGGTGCGTATGTGTGTGTGTGTGTGTGTGTGTGGTGCGTATGCGTATGTGTGTGTGTGTGTGTGTGGTGTGTGTGTAAATCGTGTTGGCATGCGTGCGTGTATGTGTGTGTGTGCATGTGTGTTATGTGTATGTGAGTGTGTGTGTAAATCGTGTTGGCATGCGTGTGTGTGTGTGTGTGGTGTGTGTAATATGCCTGCATAATTGTATTTTCCGCACAACAACGTAATTTTCTGCTTTAGTTGGGAGTGGAAATAACGGGAGTTCACTTATTTGCATTCCTCGCATTTATTCCATTACATAATCTGCTCTGCTTTGATGGCTTGCATCGATTTGTTAAGCCGGCGGGCGGTGTGCCGGGCTGAGTTAAAACTATTTTATTTTTAGCTTAAAACTTAGAATTTTATTGCCAAATTAAAGGATTTTTATTTTAAATTGAACATTTTCAATTCTAATTTCATTACCAATTAGAGTTTTTGCAATGTGTGTTAATTAAAAGTTTGTGAATATTTTTTTTTTGAGCCCAATAAAGGTAAGTATGTAAATTTTAAATAATAAATTTATTAGCTTGCAGGTGAAATACAAATATATTAATTTGTTTATTTATTCAAAATATATAAATAAATGTAGGAGTTGTCATTGAAGCTGGGCACTTTAATTTACGAGGTGAAAATTTATGCTTATATTTTGATCAAATTCGATGATAGAAAGTAAGTAGATGAGTGTTCAACAAACACAAGCACAAAAATTTTTTGGAAAAATGCCTCTTCTTGAAAAATTGAATTAAATCTCGAGGAGCTGGTGTTGGCGTGTTAAACGTTAAGGTTTAATATTATACGTAAAGTAACTTAATTTTTTCAAAATTTTTCTCTTTTTATTTAAACTTTCAACTTATACTTCAACAGATTTCAAAATGGTCCCATTTTCACTTCTCGCTCCTTCACCACCATCCAGCTTTCCGGCATTCCTCTTAGTAACCACCACCCTTCTTAACCTCATCAACAAACCACAACCAGTTCAATCTACCACCTGCTACAATTGTTTTTCCATCAACTTTGGATTCTGCCAAGATCCCTTCAACGTCAGTCATCCAAGAGTCCGGACTTGTGATGGTGCTTGCTGCATCAAAGCTACCGGAACATCGTTCGGTTAGTGGGCCCAAAAAAATTTGTCAAAGGTTTTGATCTCTGATTTATTTTCTTCCATGTATGGTAAAGGAATGGTTTTTTCTTTATTTCGTTATCTTATATCTTATATACCTTTACAACAAATAAATTTGTTATTAAAAAGTACCATTGGGTTTTCAGCTTTGAAAGTTCAGTTGGTACTCTAAAGCTAAAAAAATGCGGAAATTTCTCTTAATGATCGTATGTACGACTGTCTCAATCATAATTTTTTATAAATACATTTGTATATATCGTTATTCGAAATCATTGCTAAAAGTTTCCTGTTGAATCCAGGTTTGATGTCTATTAAATAACTATTAATAACAATAACACCATTAACAACAACAATAATAGCAATAATAATAGCAATAATAATATTAATAATAAATAATACAATTATTAATTTAATGTCTGGAATACAGGTATGGCGGTAGTGGCGAGGTATTGCTTACCAATGGCTAATTTTATCGGCTGTCGTACCTCTGACGTATTCGGTGGACCGACTACCGTTTGCACTTGCGATACCGACCTTTGTAACGGTTCTGTCGGTACGATGTCTGCATCTCTGCTAATCGAAATTATCGTCTGTTTGTCGGTAATTGGATTTTTTTTTTTAAATTGAAAAATTGACTGATGCGGTGTTAACTTTGAAAAAGGATGAGCGTTTACTTTTAGCCGGTTCGCTTGTTGTTTTGACTAGACAGCTTGAACATTGGAAGACCATATGCTCTGATGAACATATTACTTAGTAAATAAATTATCTAAATTATAATAATAATATAATTACATTAATTAGTATATAGAAAAAAAATTAAA